CTAAGTGAGCCTTGCTAGCACATGGGCACCGGAGGCATAATTTAGCTTTGTTATTTTCCACCCATCGTGGAGCATACAGCAACTCTCTTTAAGAGTCTGAAAGTCTCGACTACAATGTTCCAGTTAGTTTGAACTTTTTTCTTTGCAAATTCTATACTCCCATGGTACTTGCAGAATCCCAAAGGGGTAGTAATGGTAAGGAATGTTAAAGGTGAATCGTGTATCCTACTAGTTACCATCCAGCCTCCCTCAATTCCACACCTCATGACACAGGACCTGTAGCCACTTCTCTTTGTCCTCTTAGAGCTTAGCTCCCCACTTGAGGAAGCAAGTAACATTACTACAGATTGGTTTTACTATGAACATGTCTTATCACATTTTATTTTCTTAAAAAGTAATAATGATATCCCCATCAGAATATTTCTATAAACTGTGGTCAAAGTACAGCCTTGTGTTGATAGTTTAAAAAGACCACTTCTTTCTTTTTTTTGCTTTTTAAGAGCAAGGAATTGCTTTTTATGGAAAGAATATAGACTCTGATGACCCATTTAAATCCTGCCTTTACCACTTGATTAATGTTTAATGTAGAAAAGGTGGGTTAACGTTCCTGAGTCACATTTTCTCAGATAATAAAAACAGTAGCAGCACAAGATTAACCCTATTGTCTGATGGGATTTTTTGTTTTTGTTTGTTTGTTTGTTTTTGGCTTTTTTTTTTTTTGCATGCTTAATACGTGCCACATACTCTTCTAGTAGTTTCACACACAACATACCATTTTATTCTCGTAAGAACTTTGCATAGCAGGTTCTGCCATTCCCATCTTATAGGTAGGAATCTGGAGGTCAGACAGGTTAAAGGACCAGGTCCAAGGTTGTCTAACTGATTAATGGTGAAACTTGCAGTCACACCCAGGCTGGTCTGGACCAATACAATTGATCTCTCTACCATACTTCAGCCCTGTGAAATAGGAATGATGATATTCATAATAACCATCTTGTATGACCCTTAGGAAAACCAGAAGTAGAGTGTGTAGAGCTCCGTGCATGAAAGCTATTCCACAAGAGACCCTAAACAATTGGCTCATTGTTATTTTTTAAATCTTCATAAGTGAAACTGATCTGCCAAGACAGATAAAAATGAGAACATCAAGGGGAAAGGTAGAATATGCATTGTGCTCCCTTCATTTTGCAAATTTGCTTGGTTTTCTTCTGGCCTAATAGGCAGAGATTCTATTTAAAAGAAGGTATCGTATTATTTCTTTGATGACTGAGCAAAGGAGAACCAGGAACATTGGATGGAACAGCTAATGTACTATAGTAATTCCTCTCAAATTACAACAAACATTAAATATGTAAAATGAAAAAATATATATTTTTAATTTTTTATCAGAGCAGGGTTTTTGGTGTTATCTGGAGAGATTGTTTAAACTCAGAATTTCTATATTTATGATTTTGAAATGTAAGAGAAAAGATAATAGTGCTAAATTTGGGCATAAACTATACTTTGCTATTAGCTCCCCATGAAACTTTTATTCCACAAGCAGTTCACAAAAAGAGCAGTAGCCTATGAGCTTTGGCCAAGTTTCCTCATTTCCAATTCTGCAACAAAAATTTCACCCTTCTTTGGTTTCTCTAGTGAGAGGAATAAGAATGCAAAAGTCACCTTGATCTAAGCTACCTTATCAGAGAAAAACTAAGTATAGATTTTTGTTTCCCTTTAGACTTATTCTCATGTTTCAGAGGTAGGGTCACTTCAGTACACTGAACTAGAGTTTGGGATTTTTTCTTTCATTTTTCACTGGCCTGATATTTTAATATTAGTCATTAAAATGACTCCAGCTATTTGGAGATATCTGGGATGTTTATCATTGTCCTGTTAAATAAAAAACTATTTTAGTTAACAAATACTTGCCATCTTTCCAGTTACCTAAAATAGTAATAATTAAAACTAATTGGATGTGAGCTTTTCTTATTGAATTTAGTATCTCTATTAAATACATTATTGAAACCCATACTTTGGAGTCTTTTCATGGAGAAATTGGCAAAATAGTTGACTGAAGTAAAAATGACAATGCAGCTTCCTGGTCATCCAGGTTATTAGAGATGAAAACATTAAGGATAAAGTGAAGGATGAATGTTATGATCAGTCTGTTTTTGTAAATATCATCTTCTATCTCCACCACCATTTTTAAAGAAAGAGCAACTGCTTGTTGTGTATGTCTAGCAAATTGCAAATCTTGAATGGTGGCTTTCACCATTCCATTTTTGAATTCCTTATAATTAAAATGAGGGGGGAGCCGAACCAAATAAATTTTTTAATTCCTTCTATTTTTAAAAAGGATAGGGGTGCCTGGCTGGCTCAATCGATAGAGCATATGACTCTTGATCTCGGGGTTTTGAGTTTGAGTCCCAGGTGGGATGTAGAGATTTCTTAAAAATAAAATCTTTTTAAAAAGTATAATAGTTCTGTTCATGGATTACATTTCTCTAAATAATTCTGTAGGCTGCTCACCTTAAAAATAAGTTTTGTGGTGGGAAAGATAGAGTACGTTAAATGGAAAGAGAATAACATTTTACCTGATCTGTAAATTCACAGTATAATGAAAATTTGTAAAATATGCAGAAATTGCCTCTTTTCTATAAACATGGCCTATTTCTTGATAATAAGACTTTCCTGTTATCTAAAAAGTGTTCATTTGACCATAACACCAGAAAAATAGAAATTATGTAGTATAATATATCCTAAAAACTTTGTAAGCCCATAGATATTTGTTATGCAGGTGGTACTTATGAATTTGGGATGAGTAATCTTACTCTCAGATCTTTGAGTTTGATCGTAATTCATAGTCCAAGAGCCTCCTTGTATGTGGGCAGAATTACCAAAGATTTATCCTTTTCTCCCGGAAGAAATATCAAGTAATTCTGCCCACATTGGGGAAAAAAGGTGAACCTCATTAGGTGCCCTCAGATGGTATTGACCTAATCATAGGCATATTCAAAGATATTGTAATAGAGTATAATTAAAATGAAACTATATATTATCCTAAAGATCTTACTCAAATTGTTTTAAAATATAAAGTGATTCCATAATAGGGGTCAGAGTTTATTTTCAGCTTTATAGTAAATATGCTGATCTCTAAAATTTGGGACTGACACATAGTATAGCTGTCCATCTAGCAGCCCGGACCGTAGGTAATGGTGGTAGGTATAGTAGCTGTATTGAGTTCATTCTGTCATTAGAATGAGATATTCTAATTTTCAATTTCCCAGTTTTCTAGACAGTAATGTTTATTTCATGTTTTTAGTCTACTCTCAAGACCTTCTCTAAATACATCCAGTAGTATTTCCCGAACTAACTGTTTATTAGCTGTAGATAGTTCTCAAGAAAATACTGGGTTTTGCATGACAAAACTTTAAGGATATTGATTTGTTTGGAGATTTCCTGGTTTAAGGTTTATTCTTTGTCTCTTAAAGATGCTTAAAAAAGATGTCTTCCTTATTGTAAGCCCTGTGGAAATAGAAGCAAATAGGCATTTATATATTGAAAATTCAAGGAGAATTACAAAATGAAATGAAATATAGCCCACGAAATAGGGGGCTTGTCTCCCTCCTTGACTGCAGAAAACCCTGTTTTCTAACGTGTGCCTGGATTCTTCTGGTTTGTTTTTGTTTTGTTCCGTCTCCAGGACCTCCCAATTTTCAAGGGCACTGTGGGGCACATGTAGCATTTATTTGATGTATGTATGTGTATGCATATTTTCCCACATCTGTCTCTGTGGACCTATCCTTTGTGAAATCCTAAACCTTGTATTAATGCTTAGTTTGTGATTCATGGTGTTCTGAGAGCAATTATATAATTTTTCTTAGGGTGTTTATTCGGTGCTCTGTTAAAAAAAAAAATGGGAGTATTTTTTGGTAACTCTGCAGTTGCCTTTTTATTGGTGAATTTCTCTTTCTTTTACTGTGACCTGAGAATATCACTGTAGGCTCACTGCCAATTTTGTGAGCCGCTGCCTGCTTCAAAATGGAGGCAGGAAGGTATCCATTTTCATCAAGAGGATGACAGTGTTTCAGTCTCTCCGACCATCTGGAGAGAGGAACTTTCGGAGCAAAAGAAAATAAGGATTTGAAAAAATTATATTTAGCAGAAAAGGCAAGGGGGGAAACCAATTAAAGTTAAACTATACCTTATGAATTTATGCTTTTCAACTATGCTGCCTCCTTTAGAGGAAACATAAACAAGAAAATACACAGGCTATTTTTATAAAGGACTGGTACCCCAAATCTCATGAGTATTAGTAAACGAATGTTCAATAAATTAGGATTTTGGCACACTTTTTTAAGTTTATTGCACACACAAATGTAATAAGAACTATAAAGGGGTGCTCCCCCCTCTTCCTGTGTACATACCGATTGTTGGTGGTCTATGCAGATCTGGGCTTTTAATGGTCTTTTTCATGCATCTCTGCAAAAAGCTGACACTATGGGAATTTAATATTCCAAGATGTATTTGTCACTTTCTGTGGTCTGGATAGCGCATTCGTTTTCTCTGTCTCTGTCTCCTTCTCTCACATGTGAACATTTTAATTGAAAGGTAGAGTACAAGGGAGAGGCTTGATGCGTGCCCTTCTGTTTGCACCTTTCATGACCTCAGAGACCATCTCTGTTTAAAAAAAAAAAAAAAAAAAAAAAAAGATGCTTGGATAGGACAACCCTGTGGGTATTATATAATATATTTAACTAGACATAATTTGCAGTATTCTTGCCTACAACTGGAAAATATCCCCCGCCCCTGGTTTTCCAGTCACACAAATCTACTCAGCATTTTTGTTGTTGTTGTTTGTTTTTCTGTGTTATGAAAGGGGTAGTGTTGTAGGGTTTGATCAGATTTGGAACGGACATGGAAATGTAACATTTTGTGCCTGCTTCTTATCACGTAACGGACCTTGAGGTGCTTTGGTCAACGCAGCAAGCAACACTAAATTGTCTCTCCTTCCTCAGGTTTATGCTCCATCAGCAAGCACTGCCGACTACAATAGGGACTCGCCAGGCTACCCTTCCTCGAAACCAGCAGCCAGCACTTTCCCTAGCTCCTTCTTCATGCAGGGTAAGATGCTGCCACTTCTGCGGGGAAATCCACTGGGCAGAATCTCCCTGGGTCTTTTCAGGTCGTGTATGGGGCAAAAGACTGCTGAACTGATCCTCAACAAATGGAATATTAGGCAAGTGGAGAATATTGAAGGTCATGCTCTTCTTAGGAATTGAATTCATTAAAAATTCATCAATTAATTAAAACTCGACAAAGACCTATTTTTTCAAACCAAAGCCCCTTGAGCAATGATGAGTTAAGATTAAACTGGTTGACTTCACTGAGAACTGACACTTCTTGGGGGGGATGGTCTTCTATGACAGATCATTTCTGCCTCTTCTCTCCCCAAGAACGTGTGTGTATTTTTAGCATCCTGGATTTAGCCAAATGGGAACAAATTGTCCTTATGTATAACTTCATATAAAAATCTTAGCCACTTATCAATTTATAAGTAAGAACAAGAACTTCATTTAAGATGAAGCAACCTATCTCAAGACTAGAATATTGTTTCATTACACAACAGAATCTCCACCCAAACATGCTAATTGATTTAGGGTGAAAGACCCAGCTTTTGTCCAAGACAAATGGAGAAAATGACAGTTTCACAGTAGGTGAAGTGTATTTATCCTTTTAATCATGGAACTTATTTAACGAAATGTACATGGATACGTACCCCTGAGCTTACGGTCTTGCCACTGGTAGCACGGTTCCTTTCTGCTGCTCGGAAGTGACTGGATAGTTAGGGTGACACCAGCTGCGCGTAAGAACAGACTGTCCCGAGATTGCACGTGGGGCTTCATCCCTGGTAACCCTGTGGCATTTATTGCCAAAAGAGGATGATCTTGTTGCCAAGTTAATACTCTGAAATATAGACATGGAATTTACCAAGAATTCCTGTACCTGTATGCAGAACTTTTACCTCTTTTTGCCTGGGTGTGAAAACCTTTTTTGAGTGTGCCTTGGCCACGTGCCCTGGGATTTCCTTTTCGTGCTGCTCCAGGAAGGGCCATGTCATGGGAGGGGGAGCACCCTTGGAGCAGTAAGGAACTGGGGAGCAGCCTGGTGTCTCATTTATCTTGCAGTGGACATACTCAAAGTCATTCTGATTAAAAGGAACTGATTTTCTTCCCCTTCAGAGTATGAGGTTTTCCAGGTTGCTAGTTCACATGTGAAATTCCATGGAAAATCTATAAAATTGAATCAAATGGGTCTCCCAGGAATGGAGAGAATTTGTTCCACGCATAATAGAGCTCATGTTCATAAGGGCCCTTTATCTTTCTTTGTGACCTGTCCTAGGTGTAACTCACAAAGGGACCCAGCAGGGTATGTCACTTGAGGGCATCCTGGGCTGTGACAAAAGGCACAGCGGCCACTTGGGCCCCCGCTCCCCTCTTTGACGACCAGTCAGAGCAGCTGTTCTACTGGTGCTTATCGAGATTGTCAATTCAAGGACTCACCACTCACAGCAGATTTTCACGGAGAAAATTGACAGGAGAGATTTCTTCTACCTGCCTTCAGGAAGGTGCTTGCTTCAACTGTGCACACCACATGGGAGGTCAGGTAGAGGAAGACAGAAAACAGGCTCTGCAACCACAGTAGACCACGCAGAATATGGGGAACAAATGTGCTTTTCTGCATATGAATACCCAAAAAGGCAAAACAAATTTTTTTGAGTTGACATTTATGATGAGCACAATTAATTTGCACACATCTAATTCTATTCTTTCAAAACAACATTATGCCAAGATCATGGGATGTGATAAATATTAATTTACTGTGAAAAGCATAATTTATGTAAAGTACGTATTTTTATAAGTCTGCACTGAGTAGAGTGTTCTGTGTTAACAAATCCTAAATGTATTTCCATATAGTGCACCATGTGGTCAGAATGTTTCAGGAGGCTCTTGTTCAGTGATATATATTCCCAATTTATTTGTCATTGATGCCATCTATTTGAAATGTTAGGGCCTTAACTTCGTCTTTGGAATTAAGGTGACATCTACACTTCCACAACCTGAAAGCTACATCTTAAGTGCATGAATAATATCTTCTAGAAAGTCCTCTATTTTCCCATTAGGATCACTGAAACAGTACCTCGTGATCCTCTCTCACACTGGCTTCCTTCAGTGATGGGTGCCTGGTGCTCTGAGAATTCAGGTCTTTTAAAAACGTGCAGTTTGGGTGAAAGATCCTCGGAGACTTTCAGGAGCATATTTTTTCAAAGATTTTATTTATTTATTTTGACAGACAGAGATCAGAAGTAGGCAGAGAAGCAGAGAGAGAGAGAGAGAGAGGAGGAAGCAGGCTCCCTGCTGAGCAGAGAGCCCAATGCGGGGCTCGATCCCAGGATCCTGGAATCATGACCTGAGCTGAAGGCAGAGGCTTTAACCCACTGAGCCACCCAGGCGCCCCTCAGGAGCATATTTTAAACTCACTACCATGTGACCTCATTTTTCACTTGAATTTCTGTCTTCTGATTAAAACTCTTAAGTGGTCAGAATCTCAGATAGGATCTTTTTTTTTTTTTTTTTTTTTTTTTAAGAAATCTATTGATCATTCCTCCCTGTCCTGAAACTATTCCAGTTTTTGGAATTCTAACTTCTGGATTTAAAAGCTCAGTGGAAAAAAAAAAAAAAAAAGCTTGTGGTATATAGTGTTGGATTTAACTTGCCTATTGCCAAAATTTTCAAAAGGCCTTCATTAGGTAACATAGATGGTGAAAATAATCTTATTTTCAAGGAGGCAGTGCCTGCTATACTGTGAATACCCGCTGATGATCTGTATTTTCAGCTGGCACTCAATAATTTCGGTAGAACTATTGAAACAAGGGCAAATTTGACTTCAGTAATGACATAGATGCCCACCCACCCCACCCCCACCAACCACCTTCGTTTTGAGAAACCCAAACCGAACATCAGTGATCCCTAAGAGTAACTTCTAGGCCAATAGACCCAGAGAAGAAAAAGAATCTATAAAAATGTTTTTAATATGGCATTAACAAAGATTAACTTAATACTGAAGGGTACTTCATATAATGTCCACATCATTTTAAACCTCTTTTTAACATACAGTTTTATAAAATCTAGAACCTCTTAAAATTGGCCCCAGTATAACATCTACCTTATGATATGTGTGCCCTTTCAATGGCTACTGAAGGCTTAAGGTAGCAATAGAACTATGCACCAGAAAGCGAATGTTAAGAAAGAAAACTCGGAACTATATATATCTGAGACTCACATTTCCTATAAATTATGATGTAATTTCAACTTTAATTCTACCATGTACGTAATAAAAAGGAAATTTGATCTTTTGAAAAATCTGAGATGTTCTTTTTCATTATCTCTTTATCTGCATTTAAAAAACTTGTAGACTTGTCAACTCTATAATGTGTTAAGTATTTTATTCTCATCACAAAATTTAGGAACATTTAACTGTTCGTTTTCATAGGAAAGGAGGTCAGGGGACTTTTAAAAGAAGTGTTTTCTTTAGTGTTGTTTACCTGGTTGACTTGACATAATTCTACACAGAAATGTGTTCTGTCCTTTTATGGCTGAATTTTTACTAAGAACGCTGCCTATGGTAAATATTTACATTTGTTGGCAATATAGAGCCACTCAGGGAAAAAAGAAGGATGACTGTCTTCTGATGTAATCAGCAAAACAGCACAAAGATGAATGCACAACGGGTAGCCATTTTCAAGTATATGAAAAAATCCTATTCTGTAGGGCAAGGCTGAATGCCTCTGAAAAGTCATGGTTTTCTTTGTCCTTTACAGATGGCCATCACAGCAGTGACCCTTGGAGCTCCTCCAGTGGGATGAATCAGCCTGGCTACGGAGGAATGCTGGGCAGTTCTTCTCATATTCCACAGTCTAGCAGCTACTGTAGCCTGCATCCACACGAACGCTTGGTAAGGCAGATGGACGTGGTTCTGGGGACAATACCGCTAGTTTGCAAAATCCCATTCTCCCGCCTTTCCGTGCGTGTACACAAGGATTCTGTCATGAATGTAGAAACGGTATAACCCATCGTTCTTAGAGTTATCTTGTTTCTGAGATCAAAGACAGAACGCATCATCTTTGGAAGCCCTTGTGGCTTTTCTTTGGCATTGAACTTCATGGCGTTTTGTTCCGTGCTTTCTTTTATGATACTGTTAGCCTCCTTTGGACATAAATATATGCTGTATTTGAGTTGTACAATTTCAGCTATGGTGGATCCTTGTCATTTATTTGTTTACTTTCCGTAGTTTTGAAGAGTGTACTGCAGGGGGCAAAGTGGCAGTCAGTAGACTGAGAGTAGGTGGCCTGCATCTCCCATGTACATTTCTACTTCCCCTTACCGGCTTCTGTCCCTGGTGACAGCTTTGACCTGTGGTGCCACACCCAAAGGAAAGAGTTCCTGTTTCCCATACACGCCACTAGTCACAGCAACCAGGAGCTTTCTGTATAGATCAGATTCCCACTTTTCAGTGGTTTAGCTGTAATTCCACGTTACAGCTAACATGATGCTCCATTGCCTCACTCAGTTGAAAACTGCCGAACTGCAGAACATTATCTTGTTGCATTACTGAAGGGCTCACTCTGCCCATTGCCTAAACTCATCCATCCTAGCGTGTCCCTTTATCTTGGAGGAAGGAGCTCATCTGAGTTTTTCCAGCCTCAAAACTCCCACAGCCCAGAATCCACTTAGGAACTTGAGTTGAGCATTACAGGAGACCATGAGTTAGGTTTGAGATGCAGGTAAGATGGGACTGAGTCCCTTGTGCAGTCATATAACTTTAAAAATGTATGAAGCTATAATCCTACAAATACGAAAAAGGGTCTGAACAAATCCAGTGGTCCTTCGTGGTGCTGGGTCACTATACATCTCTAAATTGCCCCTTGTTCTCCTAAAACTCAGGTTTACGTGTCTTTCTCTGCTCTGCGATAGGAAATAGCACTTTCTGGGCTTCTGTGATCTTTCCTCTCTTTGGTTCAAACACTAGAGACATAGAAAAGGTGACTTATGTTCTATTCTGGCAACATAAATATTCCAGAAGTTACAGTCTCTGATACCCTTGAAAGATACTTATCTAGTGAGTCCTGGTGATAGAGACACTGTGGTCAGTTAACCTATCTGTTCACGAGAGGCAAAAATAGTGGAGATAGAATTGGCCTTTTTATATCATCTGCCAAGTTTGAATGTGTAAATCAACCTATCTCCAATTTCAGCACATCTTCAGTAAATAGCAAATGATTTACTTGCACGTTTTATCTTCCCCTACCTCCTACTTGGAGGTATTAGAGTGAAAGCTTAGAGAAATATCAACTATTATTATACTATAATTTCTTCTTGGCCAACATCTTTATTTCCCCATCATCATTTTCCACTTCTCTAAGGAACTCATGATCAAAACTACATCTGTCCTATGAGCAAGGAAAATTTTGATTACAAGTAAAAGATTTTGGCAGTATACTAACATAACATGGAATGTCAGTCCTTCTAAGAGTTGTTCATTTGACATTTATTTTTGTTCTTTCTTCCTTTCCTTATCATACTGTAGAATTTTGATGTAGGTGGTTTGATTTTATCCCAATCAAATTCACTGCATGGGCGGAGGTATCTTTAAAGTGTGCTCGAATGCATAAAAATTGTAATTTTAAAAAGGAAACCAACTACATTCCTTTTAGAAAAAATTTTGCTGAAAACCTTAAAAACCAATACAATATTATCAACCAGGAAGAAAGATCCTTTTGAAGGAATAACCCAACAGGTTGTATCAGATGCTATATTTGTAATGTCATTTATCCAACACCGAACATGGCGTTTTTATTCTTAATATGATTATTTAGCAGATCTTAGAGATTAAGGGTTTGTTTAAAAAAAAGTGGTAAATGAATTAGGTCTCTGGTAATGTATCCTAATGAATTTTCTCACTGATAGGGAAACTGTTAGATTATTATATCTAGTAATCATTGTAATTTCAGTATTAACCAATTGGAAATCTCTCGCTGAAATGCCTTTCAGGAATCTTGACACTGATTGAGAATAATTGGAGTACGCAGTAGGTACTTAGTGTCCTTTCACTTGAAAATAATGGTAGTTGCTCCCAATTTTCATCTATAGCTTTTGGCCAGTCTCACACAGAACAAAAGAATAGTTTGAGAAAAAGAAGAGTGTTTTCCTTGTATCATTTTGGGTATAATTTGGCCAAATTAGTATTGTCTCTGAAGGTACAACATTTTAGAAACATTATTGCCTCCATTGTGGTAGAATGTGTAATTGTAAAGCTTCAAATCCACACATTCCAATAGCAACTGTCAAGTCACCAATTTCGATTCTTTTAATCCCCTTTACAGCTTCAGTTTCTACAACACAATCCCACAGCTAATCGCTACTATGTCACAGATCCACATACAGAATCACTCGGAAGAATGGAGTTTGTGGTTAAGCTTTGGAATGGGTTGCTGTAGAAGATTTAAGGTTGGATTGACTTGGCAGAGTTTTGTTTAGAAATAGGATAGAAACCTCCGTCTGGCATGGTTTAGGCATGGTCTTTGCCCCACAGAGTGAAATAGTCCTAGGAATCTGGAATTTTAATATAAAAGAGTTCTGAATTTTTTGTAACATAAACCCTTACCCTGGTGATTCTCAACCAGGTGTGATTTTACCCCCTAGGGAACATTTGGGAATGTCCGAAGACATCCTTGGGTGTTCCAGCTGGTAGCTGTCACTGGAATCCAGCATGTAGAAGGCAGGGATACTAGTAAGCATGCTGCAAGACATAGGAGAGACCCCCACAGCAAACAGTTACCTGGCATAAGAGTAATGGTGCCAAGGTTATAAAATTTGCCTGAGCCCAAAGCATGACTTTATTCTTAGTATGTGCCACCAATGATTATATTTTCTAATCTTTGTATTATCAACCCATGGATTGATCAAAGCATCACTAATAGAAACATTTTCAATACTTATTCTGTCTGTTGGCCTACAAATATGCTGTAATCGGGCATCATAAGTAAAAATATTTCAATAGTGGGGGGCACCTGGGTGGCTCAGTGGGTTAAGCCTCTGCCTTCGGCCCAGGTCATGATCTCAGGGTCCTGGGATCGAGCCCCGCATCAGACTCTCTGCTCGGCAGGGAGCCTGCTTCCCCCTCTCTCTCTGCCTGCCTCTCTGCCTACTTGTGATCTCTCTCTGTCAAATAAATAAATAAAATCTTAAAAAAAAATATTTCAATAGTAGGCATGTAAAGCCATTATGCTTTCTCAGTCTCCCCTTTCCACATGCAAGCAGGCAGACAGTAGCAATAGCCGGAGGTAGAGAGGCAAAAGAGATCTCTCATTGTTGGTCCCTAAATATTCCAAAAGAGACATACTTCACACATCAGTGATAGTCTCTGCAGTGTATTTATTATATCTGAGTGATAGTCGTTTTCAGGATACTTTTCCTTGTATAAGGAAATAATTAATAAATAATACATTTATCATAAATTATAATTTATAATAATAAATAAATAATAATAAATCTCATAAATTTTTTTCAGCATCCTATTTTCTGTGAGTCTCTAAAAATAACTGATTTACATGGATTGCATTCGTTTCCCTATTAAAATCGATGGGGAAGATCTTTTCTTATCATTCTCCAAACTCAGTATTAACCCTCTGTTAAATCCTGAATTATTGCCCATTTTGCACCATGTTAAAAATGTCTAGAAATCCTCCCCAATGTGGAAATCTTTTTCCCATTTGACCCTATGGTTATATAGTCATTTAAATATTTTTCAAAATTCTTTCCTCTGTTTTGATTTTTGCATATCTGGGACTGATTTATACAGTTTCCCTGTTCTTCAGAAACTCAGCACAGAATAGCATTGTGTAGAAATGAATGCAAACCATTTCTTTCTTTCAGTTTCCTTCTTTCTTCTATGTTCAGTTTCTTTTTCTTTACTTTATTACGGTGTTTAGCTGTCAAGCAGAAATAGTGGTTCCAAGTTTGGTGTTCTGTGGCTTATCCAGTGTTTTGGGTTAGCTGTACTATGCAATGGGCCCGTTCTGTCATTGTTTGGAGAAAAGCTCGTGGGCTGCTTGGGGCATTTCGTTAGTGGCAAGTAGGAATGAGTTTAACAGGTGGTCTAAGGAGTTTTTTGGTGAAGCACAGAGGTCCATGAAATTAAAAAGTTTGAAAAGCCTTCTTGGGAAGTGGGAAAGACTTAAGGGTATCATCTCAACTTTTTCACTGACGTTGAACTTTCATTTGGACTGGTTTGAATGTGTAGAGGTAACATTGTCAAAGACATCCACCATGTCATTGGCAGATCTAACGTAGGTTCATTTCCTAGATTGTTTAATTCTCTTTCAAATAAGTGGCATTTCAATCCACTATTTATTAAATGCCAACCGATAACCAGTTGTTCATTGAGAATATAAGATAATTATGTGTTCAGCACTCAGCCGTAAGTTGTGAGATGCAGAGGTGTAAGCTCTGTTCCCTCCCCTTAAAGAGTTTACAGTCTAGGTGGAAATGCACTTGAAAGAGGAAGCAAGGAAAGGCAGCATATAATTAAGTGTTAAATGGCACAGCACAGAATGTGAGTGCATTAGGGATTCAGACAGAAGAGATTGTGCAAGAGTTGGAAGTAGGAAGGAATACTAAAGGAAGAGGTAGAACCCAAGATAGGCCTCACAAAATTAATACAGAAATACCAAGACACTGGCGTTTCACTCCTACGAATAAGTGCCTGGGCTTTAAGCACCCCTGACTTTTAGCATCATATTCAATCTCTAATTTTAATTGAATGTCCATGGCTGATTAATATATTACCCACAAGAAAAAATAGAGTTTAGCCAAAATAGTTTTCCCTTACATGTCTATAACACATTCAAATACCTATGAGAATAACATTTTAAGCTACTTTTTTATCTTGGAAAAGAAAATAGCTTGATGTGTTTTGGTAAATAACTGTGTTCCTGTTGGTGATCTGCTCATTCCCAAGCAGATGGATTGCCACTTAACAGGCACTGTGATATACCCCCAAGAAAAGCAGCTTCGTTGGACCACAAGGATAATAATTGAACTCAAGACGAAACATTAAAACAAATGATTCTATGAAGATGTTCTTTTTTCATAGCTATCTGGTAGATTACTAATGAAGAAGACACATAAAGAAAGAGCTCACATTAGTATTTCTCAGTTCATTCATTCCAATTTAATTCAGTATGGTTGTTGATTTAAGGCTTTACATACGATGCTTTAGAGAGATAGTTAACCATCTTTACTTTTTAGAAGTTTTCCATTTACCCTTCTGTTCTTGCTTGAGTTCAGAAATGTGGTCCAGTTGTACAGGCGGAGGATTTGAGACTGGCTGCTCTTTGCCATTTAGTCCAAAAGTTGACCCATGTCAATCCCATGGGTCATGATACTGTTTTATTCATTGTATCATGGACTCTTTCTTACTTGATCAATAGTTCATACAAAAAAATAATAGCAGAGGTGGTCTTTTATGTTGCTGACACCTCAGAGGTACTTTGAAGTGATAATTTTTAGATTTAGAGATTGTGATCATTTCTCACTGTCCTTGGTGGCCATTGTATTCCTCTACATTTGATGCAAGTGCAAACCAACTATGTGTCTTTGTATTTTCTCATTTGAAAAATGAAATCTGTCAGATCTAAGCAAGATGTATTCTTGGATATTTTGAAATTCGAAGGGCTGTCTCCATTGCAAAATGATGAGTTCCAAAAGGAGTATTAGAATTCTAACCCACTAAATAGTTCATGGTTGAATGTGGCTTTTTTTTTTTTTTTTTTTTTTTGCTTCTTGCTGCAGAGCTATCCATCACACTCCTCAGCAGACATCAATTCCAGTCTTCCTCCGATGTCCACTTTCCACCGCAGTGGCACAAACCATTACAGCTCCTCTTCCTGCACGCCTCCCGCCAACGGGACCGACAGTATAATGGGTGAGTCATAGAAATGGTGATTCTGACGCTGACAAGCAAGGTCAGGGTTTAAGAATACAGGGCCTCTTTTTTCTCCTCATCATTGAACAGCAAGCAGGCAATGAGTATTTGTCACATAACTGCATGAAAATACATGAACCAAACAGAAATAGTCATTGGCTTGTCCATAATCACTTTTTTTTCTTCTTTTTTTTGGGGGGGGGGGGTCACAAGAAACGGATATTTGGCTACTTGGTTCATTACCAGTTATTAGATTGAACAAAGGTTGAACTAGGCCAAAACTATCTTGCTTCTCACACTCTCCAACAGTGAGCGAAGTAAACATTTATAAGACAAACCACTGATGACTTAGTGAGATGGGGGGCAAGTTAGCTCTTACAAATAGTTATTGACCCCTTCCCAAATCCAGTCAACCGTGCTAGGCTCTAAACCATGACATACCACAGTCTTCCAAAGACTAGCTCCTGTGATATTCATGGGTGATTATTAATAACTAGATGGCTTCACCTCCTGGAGTCTTTCAGAGGGGAAGAAGAAACTTTGCCAATGCAGAGGAATCACATAGCCTGACGTTCTAGGGTCTTAATAAAACCTCAGCCTCCACTGGTCACCACTACCCTGGTCCTAGCTCAGCCTGACACCTTGTTTGGCCTCAGGATCTCCTGCCACGGGTCCCTGATGGGAACATTAACTGTATGCTTTAGAGAGAAGAATGTGTGACAGAATAATCCTACTGTTTATTCCCTTTAGCTCTCTGCAGTTTTTCATTTTCTTTAGAGAGTTCATGGGAGTTGGGAAAGTGGTGTGAATCACTTATGTGGCAAAGTTTTTGATGAGAGGGAAGAAATGTGCTTTGAAATGTTGCAAATATAATCCTGCCTAAATAATACACTCCCTGCTTATTCAATAATATATTTCACACTTGAGATGAGCCACCTTCGCAGCCCATCGCTATCATGTCTCACTAAGAAGCAAATTTACAAGAGTTTCCATTTTCATAACTTTTCATAACAAAGCTTCTACAAATGTGTTGCATCAGTTTGACCTTGGAGAGGAATGGACAGAGGTCACATGGGGAAGTTGGGTTAGCTATCAATGCAGTTTTGGCAGATTTGAAAAACAAGAAGAAAGAAAGAAGTGCAGAACTGAAAGGGTGAGAAAAGCATATTTCACTTCAATGTGGTTTGACAAATGGAAAGCCCCTTTCTGTAGTCATGAGGTCTCGTTATAAAGAAGGATGACCGGTCATTCATCCTCTTACACGGCAGATTTCCTGTCTACTTGTGGTTTGAGTAATTTTCTTTTTTAGGAAGGTATAAAGGTGGAGCAAAAGCTTGAGTTGAGGAAAACATACTTGGGCATTATTTGAAAAAAATTCTGTGTTGAATGATGTACAAAACAGTCTTTCTGGGAGCAAGGCACCACAACTTGGGAAGAAAGAGATATTTTGAGATGGAATAATCATTCTTCATGAGCTGTGGTCAGCATGGCCACAAATCCCAGTGGGACTGAGATTTGCTCTATTTAAGATGGTTGACTCATCATTAGCCTGTGGATGAACAGGAATGTCTGCTGTCCTTCTTCATTGGGTCTGGGTAACTATGGAGCAGTAGGTGACTTCTGCATGCTAACAGGCTCAACCACACACTAAAGATGGAATGAACTTGTTATATGGACCATAGGGCCCTGTTGAAGTAGAGGGAGGGTCTCTACAATATTAAAAGAGCCATAATTCTAAAGGAGAAAGTAGGAGATTTCTGGAACCCAGAAAAAAGTTTTTAAGAATAATTTTATCACATAGATTATTACATAATCATGGGTATACTTGTCAAAATCTATTAGCAGAATGTCAGAAAGCTTTATAATCTTCTCGGGAAATAAGTAGACATGGTAATTCAGCTTTTTGGAAGAACAAACCTTTATTAACTTGCATAAGTGCAGTTATTACTTTAGGATTATGTTAAGGGGGAGCATTCTAGAATGTTCTTTCTTAAAATAAGATGTCCTGCGATTTCTTACATTAAAATACAGGGGAAAATTTAAATAGGATAATAGAGTCTTGGTATTGCATGGTGTCGAGTGGCTCATGTTTCTTCCCACTTTAATTTTCTTGGGCTTTGGATTGATTTTCAGAGTGTGGTAGAAGTCAGGGATGGCAGCATGTCTGTATAACAAGAAGAGAAGATTTCTCTTCTGATGTTAGTGATACTTCCCTAACAAACAGTATGGATTAATAGGGTACATCTGTAGACTTTTGAAAATATTTGGCATATACTCACTCATTCTGAAATGCAGGAAATAAAGAAATATTACATTGCCTATATCTCAAAGAACAAACAGAGCTAATTAAATAATTGGTAAATAGGGAACACATAGCCTGACACATGTTTGAGATTACACACATGATTCTGTAGAAAATAACTGTAAGCACTACTAATGCTATAAGAATGGGGTTCAAGCACTAACACATGGACATCACATTTTTCAAGTTTTCTTGGTGAAAAAGTGCAAGGCAGTTCAGTCTTTTCATAAATGGCACTGATGTCTTAGGAAGCTGCTTTTTTTTTTTTTTCAGTTCAGAAGGAGATCATTGCCCTGCTTCTGAGTTTCATGTTATAATGTGTCCTCCTGGCCACCAGTGAATGTCCTGAACTGATCACAGAACAACAAAATGCATGTGGAGCGAGGGGCAAACTTAGAACCATCAGAAGGTGACCCCCTGGAATCACCTTGTCCCTCTTTCTGTCCTCTGCATTTCAAAGATGGCAGACGCTTGCCAGGGCTTACAAAGGCTTGTTTGACTTGGTGAGGTGATCACTGTTTCTTGTTTTGTTGGCTTTTGCCTTTTAATGCCCAATAGCATTTTTTGAGAAATAAATGCTTAAGAAGGACAAAACATCCCAATTATCATAACCGTTTTTTTTGTTGTTGTTTTTGTTTTTAATGACACATCCATCCATGGATTTTTTGAGAGAATTGTCCCTTATTTTAGTTGGGGCACGGAGTACTTTCCTTCAAAGCCTTGCCAGTAAACTCTGGAGGTTACAGTCAACGTTTCTGAACTAGAAGGGTCCATTAGGCTCCTGGGAATTACATGACTATAACGCACGGGACACAGCATGGATTCCTACTGGTTGGGCTGGTAGAGTACCCCGCTGAAGAGAAGAGCCAAATCCGGATTTACCACCATCAGATCCTGTCAACTCTGTTCCTAAAACCCTTCCAGGCCAATGCTGCTGGCTTTATATCAGAAGCTGTGGGGGCTAGGGCCTCACATGCCAGCATGCACGCAGAGGAGGAAGGGGAGCAAGTGATTACAAGCCAGCCTGTAGAGGATAAAAATGTCTAGAGGATAGCAGCCATGACATATATGTTGCTACCTACATATTTCCTTCTTACCTGCAATGCCCAATATCCCGTCTTGACCAAAAGGTTTGAGAGCACTGCCTAGCCTAACACGGTCGCCCGAGATTACTCAAGGATAGGAGCGCCCCAATTCCCCACTGGGAGATAACATTTGTATACATTCCCAGGGTGTGACCCCTGGTGGTTTGGGACTCCACACCCTCCTTTCTTCTCGGAGGGAATTATGCATAAAACTAACATTATTGTTATAATAACTATTATTGTTCCATTAGCCTTTAACTGGCCTGCTTTCTAATGCATGGAACTTCCCATGTTTTTAAACCTCAAACCAAACAGTGTTGAAGGAACAGACTACCATGATTGATTTAATGCAACATATGCTAAAGATTACCCTGGAATATCTATCTGGTTCCTGAATTAATCTGGTTTACAACTTTCACTTCTAATGACATGTTTGTATGACATGATGCATTGTAGTATGTGGCTTTTCTAGTAGAAACATTATGTCCATTTCCCCTTGAGGACTCGGTTTCACAGTAATTTTATTATTAGAGTAGTCATATAATATTCACTTTGTCTTTTGTAAGAATCTCGAGCCTTCAAATACAGTTGGGTGATGAACAGACACAGTGCTTAAGAGTAATATGGATTTTATCCAGCAGTGACATGGCATCTTAGTTACAAAGACCACCAACGGAGAACAATAAACTAGTTTGATTTAAGTCTTCTTGTCCATTTCCTGCACATGGTCCTGGGGCCCAACTCCCCCCTTGAATTCCTAGGAATCCCTCCTGCTAAAAATTAGTGCATTGTGGCCTCTACTTGAGTCTTTATTCTAAAATCGTGTGTACTAAGAATGCTGGAGATACTCCTTCTTTTGTCATCTTTATAGAGATGAACTCATGGCTCATTTTGGAAGCATTATGCTGCTTCTAATAGTTTAATCACATGAGGGTCACTTGGACACAGTTCAAAAAACCCTAAATTTTAAAGCAGTCACCATTTTTCGGACAAATTCACTCTGAATTGTAGTTCTTATTCCTTTTAGATCTTCACAATGTTCCCAGCCCAAGGTTATGGGTGTGCAATAAAGGGATAACACATTTTCCAAATTCTGATTTTCGGTAGCCAGTCCCCAGACACCACTCATCCTGGTGTTTTGATTAGGGTATGTTCTAATAGGAATTGTTGTTTCCACAAAGCTGAGACTGAGACCGAGGGTGGTCCCACATGAAACAGAAGGTACCAGACCCTTCCTTCTGCTCCATCTTCTAGCCAGCAGCAGCACCTGTGTTCAAACCATCTGAGTAATGCTTAGAGGGCTGGCTGTCTCGAGTCCCCCTACAAAATTGCAGTTCTTTTTAATAACTGCTCATCTTTTTTTTTTTTTTTTTGATTTTTATTTATTTATTTGACAGAGATCACAAGTAGGCAGAGAGGCAGGTAGAGAGAGAAAGGGAGAAGCAGGCTCCCTGCCGAGCAGAGAGCCCGATGCGGGGCTCGATCCCAGGACTCTGAGATCATGACCTGAGCCGAAGGCAGAGGCTTAACCCAATGAGCCACCCAGGTGCCCCAATAACTGCTCATCTTATATTCATATTTACGTTACTGCTTTAGAGACTAATTTTTTTTCCTTGAGCAAGAGAAATTGATTAGAGCTAAAATAACAAGAAATTAATCCCATCTTTACCTAGTAGGGACAGTAGTTTCTGCTTCTCTTCCTATTATATGAGCATTTTGGCAATTTCTAATGATATGAGTTGACAAAACTTGGGCCTAAACAGGAATTGAGTCCTGTCCCATGAAAGCCATAACATGGATCTGATGAGCACAAAGTTTGATTAGAAGGTGTATTTTGCCAAACACGACCCCTTACTTCTCAGTATAAAAAAGAGGATGCTACTTGATAATTTAAATTCACTTTCTGATTATGTATGCCTTTTGACATAGCAGTCACACAAATAAAAAGAGAAATCTTTAAGAGAAGGACCCATGTAGCTTAATGTGTTCAGAGGCTCAGAACTGTGTCTTCTCCCACATTTCCTGGAACAGAACAAAAGGCATTCCAACTGAAAGGGCAAATTGGCCCCAGTACGCTGCTTTGAAATTTAAACCCTTGGGTTTGGCCCTCCAGCTGCTGCAAGGTAGAATGGCTTCATGTAAAAAAATAGTCTGTTCTTATCAGTCGCTTCCATGAGTAGCCTTTGGAGTTTTCTGAAACATTCTCATGACCACATGGGGTAAGAAGTTGATTCTAGTCTTTATTCTACTTCCTGAGTCCTAGTACCGCACTCTATAAAACAGGCAGTAATAGAAAGTTTAGTTGGAAAGGTGTAGTACAAAAGAAATCATAACGATCTTATCTCTTCTCAAGTGTATTTTTATATATATATACGTACATATATATGTACGTGTATATATATATATATATGTATATACATACATAGAGAGAGAGAGAATTTATTTTTTAAATGTCCCTAAAATATTTCTTTTGGTTTTCATGAGAATATATTTTGAAAAATTTGTCATCCTCATGTTAAAGTTGTTCAAAGGAAGATTTAATCTTTTGAAAGCTACTATTGTAGCAAACTTTATCTGTAATTGAAACAAAAGCTTATCTTTTTTGATTTAGGTTTTTGTGTTAGTAGATAATCTAATTTTTTTTGGTGTGGCTCTGAAATTCCATTTCACAAAGACCTTTTTTTAATCAAGCAGATCACACATTTGTTTGACTAACAAATCTAATATTTAGGTATCTGTGATAATATTGCTTCTGCGGAAAAAAAAAAAAGTATCTAATTGCCCCCAAATACCATTCTAGTACATGCTGAAAAAATGTGAGTGCTGTCTGTGCTTTCAAAATCTTTATTTTTTTCTCTTTAGAATTGTCTTTCATTTTCAAAGAGCTTTTCAATGCAGAAATTTTCATTTCTACATGAGATATAATTTCAATTAGCTCTTATACTTAAGTATTTTTAATATTAGTGGCATCTGGGAGCTCCTTCCAATAGCTCATTGTATGTCTGACTCATTTCAAAAGTGTGCTTATACTTATAATCCTTAGCACTAATAAGCGATACACTTTTAATAGTATGAATTTGTGATATAAACAAGAATGGTTTTGTCAGAGGGCAGTTGCATTCCTTGTATTGCATACCAGTTTTCTTTCAGTTTTAGTAATTAACAAATGAATATGGGTATGGGTTTTGTTAAACAAATAAAGCACACCTCAAAAGATTATTGAACTGACATACCCAACGTAGAGCCCTGTAAAAATAGCAAGCATAATTTAACTATGCTAAGCAGAGGTCAGGAGAATGAAATTATAACCTAGAGAAGTAGAGAATTCAGCCACCTGAGATCTGACCCCCACTACTCCATTTTACAGATCTGGAACCAGATGACACATTTGTTAGCAAGTGTGCTCTTGGGTCAAGGAGAGGACTGGGAATTTTTTTTTTTTTTTTTCAGTTATGTCAAGTGCAATGATGTTCTATTTGGATTGATCAGTGGACTTCAGATTTCCTTTTTTTGTTTCACAAAATAGCGAAAGACGGCTCCTTGGAGTTTAATAGGTTTTCTTTAAATACTATGTTTATTTGCTAATGTTCAGGCCTTAATAAGCGTCATATGCCAAATGTTCTAAGTGTTGTATTAATACCGTTCAATAGAGCTGATACTTCAAATTCTAGGCCGGAATCTACATTTTTTCACAATAGTCCTCGGTTCATCTATTTTGTAGTCAAAAATACCAGTGTTTAAGATGACAGAGATAACTTCATGAATACGTAGACTTATTTTATCTCAGGAATTTGAGACCATATTGATTTTTTGTAGCATCACAGTTCAGATTTTTTTGAACGTAAACACAGACTTGAGTGTATGTAGAGTATGTGTTATTTAAAATATTAAAAATATTTTCTTGCCTAGGAAGCCAGACCCGTTATAGAATTTCTTTCATTTTTGCCAAGAGGAGCACCTCGTTTTGCTAGGTATCAAATTTTTTAAAAAACGGAAAGCTGGCATAAATTATTTGTGAAGACAATTCCATTGACTCTCTGAAACAGCGAGAAGAGGCGCGCTTTGAAGACTTCAGAGATGTGAAACATACCACTTACTTCGTAGCCATGAACCTCCTGTGCTCGCACGCTTGCTCCCATTCCCCACCAACTACTCCTAAGCAACCAGGGGGCCAGTCATGGCAACTGGAACACTTCATCTTTAAACCAAGGCGTCAGTTTTCTATTTTATCTGTAAAAAAAAGTAACATGAATATATTTGACATCTACCTCAGCAAACAAATTAATGCTAATTAAAGATTAATGTGTTGTAATTAGCATTAAAAATGCAATTAAATTGTGAGTAAATGGACCAAGAATAGAAAATTGTTCGACGTCTCACTGCCTGGTTTTTCATATTCTGCCTTTTGTTTTTGCAGCAAATAGAGGAAGCGGGGCAGCAGGCAGCTCCCAGACTGGAGATGCTCTGGGGAAAGCACTTGCTTCGGTGAGGAAATATTGACTTTGGACTTCATATGTGCCATTGTGGAAGGGTGAACTTTAATCAGAAGTGGACATTTGGAATTGTAGAAAATGAATGGCAAATAGCCTTGATTTCTGGAAATGCTAGCTTTCTTGCAGAATGGTGGTTGGAAAATTTGAGGAGAAAACTCTGAAGCTTCCAGGGAAGGACTGACCCTACCAGGTTGTTTCCTTACAATGGTGCCAAGCAGTCCTCCGTTACGGATTTGTGGATATTCTCAGGGCCTTTTGGTGTATAGATCTTCTATCGTGATTTCTTATTTTTCTCTAAAGATGTATAGTACTACTCATGGATTAACTAAGACTGATTTTGCAGGGAGCAATTCTAAAACACGTTGGGAAAGGCATTTAAAGAAAAAAAAAAGAAAAAAGACCATACCGAGCTCCGTGAGAAATTGTCACATAATTGGCACTTGGGGACTCCGTTTCTTTGCCTCACCTGTCTGCTGCCAGGAGGCTAGAATTGAGCATTTCTTGCATGTTCACTAGTGATAAAGTATCCCACCTCATTTGTGTGAGGGAGTATGCCTGTTGTTGTCTTCAAAAGCTAAATGTAGCCATTTGCAAATATAAGTGGGGATTTGTTGCTCTAACATTTTGTCTCTTTGGTTAGCTTTTCCTTACCATTGGGAGCATAAAGTAAGTTTAATTCAGCATTGTGACCTAAGTGGAAGTTTATACTTCATCTGGGCATTCTTAAGCCTTGGCATTAAATGCCTTAATTGTGGTGGAGAAGGAGTTGGACAAAAATCATAGAAATGATGCTGTCTAACCTGTTTGATGGAGGAAGAAAGGGGAGCTTGGGGTGTCCATGTGGCTTGCTCACAGCCACGGAGCCACAGTAGGACATGGGAGGGAAAGCACAGTCTACTGACTGTGGTCCAGTACTGTCCCCGCCATTTTACATGAGCTCATAATTCTTAGTTTGAAAAATTAAACTGTTAAATCTTTCATTTTATGATATTGGACTAGAGTCCATTGTTACGTGTATTTTATGACTTGTAAGTTTTAGGTGAATTGCAATGACACTTGGTTATTTAACGAATTGTTGATTCTTTATTCCTAATAAATGAGGGTTTGTTTCTTTTTTTCTTCTCCCCCACTGTTTTTTTTTTTTTTTAAGATCTATTCTCCAGATCACACTAACAACAGCTTTTCATCAAACCCTTCAACTCCTGTTGGCTCTCCTCCTTCTCTCTCAGGTACTGTACCTAAATCCAGTCCCATCATAATACCAGTGTAAGAGAACGATTTCCCTCTCGTACTTCCTGGTCTGGTAGGTGGAAACTCCCTCCCTCCAAAAGCTCAAAACAGAACATTTCTGAACAGAAAAATGGAAAGGTCTGTCTTTTCCTCTGCCATATGAAAGTACAGCCATTCACATCCAAAATTTTTCTCAAAAATTACATGTTTTTAGAATACATAGGCATATGGAAAACTTCCTAAACTTGTCTCTGTAGAAGATATTCAGCAGAATAACATACTCTAAGAAGACATCTCAGGTGAGAAAACCCCGTTAATACAGTCAGGAATATGAATATAGATTATATAGCCATCAAATATAGACTGTTCAAAAGGATCATTTCCTACGGAAATTTTAGGCTTTCCACGCATCCTTTTTAAAGTCCACGTCCCTGATGTGATTGAGGAAAACTCTAATTGTGTGACTAGAGGAGTAACTGCATGGAGTAAAACGAAATGTTTGCCTTAAAATATTACGTATTAGTATGACCTGTGGCTTCCAATAATAAAATTTTAAGTTGTTGAATTATGTCAGTAAAGCGTTTCACTTTTCAGAGGTCCATTTAAGAGGCTCATTGCCATTCTCGTATAAATGCTTCCAGAAGGCCCTATCTGGTGCGTGTCTCTGTTCTTGGAAAGGAGGACAGGTGGCTTCAAAAAAGAGTCCGAATCGCATCTGTACCTGATTGAAACTTGACCTTACTGTAATTTATGTGAAGTCACTTGCCTAGATGCTGCCTTCTCGATCCCTGGTACTCCCCGCAGCAGCTCTCACAGGGCATCATAAACTGGGTTCCCTGGTAGAAAGCAGGAGGTTTCAGACTGCACAAAGCTTTCAGAGGCGATGGCCATGGCTTGGGGGGACCAAATATCAGCCTTTTCCAAGTCTCCATTGATATGGGGTGGGGGCTGCCGCAAAATGGAGAGGGGTGGCTGGACGTTTAAGTCTGCGTGTCCCAACGGACAGAATTGAAACTGGAAGGACACAGAGATGCTATGAAGGGGATCATGGAACTGCCATGAAATATTCCCCGTGACAGAAAAGGAATGGAAAGTTGAGAGGTGTTATCCACTCCTGGGTCAGTATTCTACTGTTAGGCTCTGGGACATGATCACCAGCGTCAGTGTCCAGAGGCAACACAGAGCCCAGTGAGGCAGGTGGTGAGGGAGTCTGAGCAGGGAGAACTCCAAGGTCCCCATTTCCAACAAAGCAGCTCTAATTTCATCTATTTTATCATTTGGGGGGAAAAATCTAGAGTCTAATACAGTTTGAGAACGACTATTTTGGTCCGGTGCTCCGATGTTACAGATGAGCGTATGAAGGCCCGGAAGGGGGACGTGATTTGCTGGGGCGGCACACACGTCAGTACCAGAGCTTGGGCGACAGTCCAGCGCTCACTATCCTGCCACTGCATTTCTAGGTTAATGACGAGAAGGTTCGGATGCACAATTCATTCCAGAAAATGCCACAAACACCCAAATTCTGAGCAGCGTGCTCTATGTGGGAGACAGAGAAACAAGGCCAATTTTCAGGTCCAGCTAATGCCCCATGAAAGACCCCATGTTAGGAAGAGTGAACTTTACGAAGATGTAAACATGGGGATTAATTGCTATTTTCACACTGAAAGTAGCTGGCTTTGTCCATATTCTATCACTGCAAGTAACTGAACAAACTATCCGACTTTTATTTAGCATAAAAATGCACATCCATGCACACCCAGAAATGATAGGAAGAAGGAATTTTTTTTTAAATGCTAAGCGTGTCGGGAAATAAGATTACAGTGAGATCACAGATTTTTTTTTTTCCTTTCTTGAATTATTTCTTAGTTTCCACACAGAGTATGCATTACTGTGAGTTTAAAAGTGGTTTTTATTTTGTAGGTCAGACATGTAATATTTATTGTAGCAGGAATCAAGTTTAGTGGATCACAAAATAATTATTTTCTTCAGAAGAAACCACTTACTTATTACTGTTGTTATATTGAGTTTTTAAATTTCTGGTTTGGTGGATCACTGCCAACTAATCTTAGTCCCTCAAAAAGTTTGGAAGCCTTATCCCTCCTTAAGGATCATTTTTAAAACAAGTAGCAATGCTGTTGTTCATTGGTGAGAGAATTTTGGTTTCACAAATTTTGGTAACAAAATCCCCCTTTGCATTCTTAAAAGTGCCTTGACTTTGTAGGGATCTCTTTCCTTCAGAAGGAACCCCTCTCTGGCTTAAATTCAGAACCAATTAGACATTCCCTTTGGGGAGGAAGCCCAGAGAATTCAGGGTCTACATCAAGTTTGAAACTGAAGATGTTTTCCTTGTCCCAGAATTCTTGTATGGGGAGTTTACATGTATTTATCTTAATTGTCCAAAGAAAATAAGCATTTCTAAAAGAACTGTTTAAAATATCTGCGAGATTGTTTTCAGATTATATAGATCTCATTGTAATCTCCATTTTAATATCAGCAGGCACAGCTGTTTGGTCTAGAAATGGAGGACAGGCCTCATCATCTCCTAATTATGAAGGACCCTTACACTCTTTGGTAAGTCTCATCTGCTAATCTCTCCTCTAGCCATTTGGTGACCATGTTTCTCTTTTCGCATCTGCTTTGACTCTTAGTCTCATCTCACTAACAGAAACTTGAGATCGATGTTAAGTACACAAGTTTGGTTAGAGCTAGAGTTACTAGACTATCATTTATTCCTGTTTGTAGATTAGAACCCAGATTCTACTACAGTGTAAACCCCAGGGCTCCAAATACCTAAGACCAGGTAAGAGATTAAAAAAAATCTTGGAAAGACAGCGGCATCTGCCCGGTCTTTGGGAACAAACCCAAACTGTTCTTTGGGAACAGTCAATGAGTTGTTAATTTCCTAATACAAGAGTGCTAGTGTTTCAGCCGAGCTGCCTAGCTGGACCACTTGGCGATTCGGTATCCTTCTGCTTTCCTTTCCAGAGTGTCAGGCTTATAGGTGTTCTCCTCTTGACCTCTGATAAGAAGCCTACTGTCTGTTTCCTCTTTCACTTTGGTTCTCCTAGAAGTAACATCATGAAATGTCTGCTCTTCCAGTAAGGAATAGCTGAAAATTTCCGTGGGTATAATTAATATTATAAACACTCCCATGATGATTCAGTGTCTGACACTCTAGTCTCTGTCAGCTCATGGTGGATGTGGCTGGAAATGTACATGAAATCACCCTGCCCTGGGTGGCCTTGGTTAGTGTGTGAATCAAATGGGGGAGACGTAACAACAAGGAGCTCTTAAGTCTTCCAGAGGTGGGTTTCCCTCCTTTCATCCCTATTTTGAGACAGAACATGGAAGAGGCATTGATTGATCTGTCCATCTAACTTAATGTCTTGTCAGAAGCTCAGCATTTCCTTTCTTCCCTTCTGGCTTACTGTTTAAATTAAGGAAAAATCTAAAAATGGAAATATGGAGGTGGATTCCCCTTGGCTCTGACCTTCCTTGCTGTAGTGTGGGATCATCCAGCTCTGCATTTTAGCCACTAAAGGCAAGCACAGGGTGAGACAAGGTATACATTACCTGCCTTGCCTGCATTAATTAATCTGTAGCCCACATCCACGTAATCCATAGTTTTTCTAAGTGTTTACCTGAATTGGTTATTCTGTGGGACCCATCCATCAAAACTAGGTGATGTCCAACTGTAGAACCGTAAAGACCCGGTTTATAGTTAGGAGCTCTAGCTTTAGTTCTCTGAATACTCACCACTCACAAGGTGATTCGCAAGCAGAAACTGCTCTCTCTACCAGGAAGCTGTGAGCCATGAAGGGTGATAGTTGCACGTATTACTTCTTTTCAGGGCTCACATGCACACTTGGAAGTATGTATTACCGTTCCCTTTTTTATAAATTATGAAATATAGACTCAAATAAGTTTAGTACCTTTGCAAAGATTTCATAAGTAACAGCGAAGAGTTTAGGGGAGGTCCCTTCACAACAAAGCCCCCCCAAATCAGAATGTTCTGTACCATAGACTAACTGTATTAGACACACATTCCTTCTGTCAGTATAGAATAATTTGAAATTGTTTTTCTCAGGCAGTAGAGCTGGTACATCCGTTTGCACAGCCCATTGGAAATCAGTAGGTTGTAGCATGAGCTACCACACAGAGACACTAGATTTGAAGTCCAAAGACTTAGGTTCAACCCTAACTATACCATTTCTTGGCATTGGGTCACCACATAATTAATACTCAAGTTCTTTGAGCCTCATTTGCGTGGCTATATGGAAAGGATATAATTCTTCCCTGCTTGCCTTATACATGGAGAATGGAGATCCAGTCACACGGCATATCTTAAAATGTCACACTGGAGAGTGGTATGCAAATGTTTTCTTGTTGTCATTATTGATCATACTGCAGAAGGTGAATACACATCTACATGTTCTTTTTCTTCACCAAAAACTATAGTATAAGCCTTAATCTAGTTGCAGAAAACAGGATCCCAGGGGCAGGCATGGAAAAATAAAAAGGTCAGTTGGTTTTGAATTGTATAATTTAATTTTATAGGTAGTGAATGTTATAGAGGAAGGGCTTTGGAGTCAATTAGAAGTCCCTGGTGAACAATTAATTCATGTCTTCGTGATTCTTCAGTCTTGAAATCTCATACCACTTTGGTTGACAAAGTTGTAATGACTTTTCTGTATCCATTTTGAGTTCCCACTCCCCTTTACACACACGCTGGTGATAATAGAAAGCACTGGTAAGAAACACTGGAAAAATAGATAGTACTCAATAAGAAATATATATAGAAGTAAGAAATTATAGTCTGCAAGCATTTACCTGTCCCTGACTTGGTACTTAGCCCTGTACCATGTGCTGCAGAAGAGGTGAAGGAAATATGCCTCTGAGAAGGTAACAAAGACAATTTAAATGGGAAACTACAAATACATCGTCTACCCATTGTTAATTTTTTGAAAATTTTAATCAGTGCCTGCTAGAATGTTTCTTAAATCCTATAGATTTTTTTTTCCTGAAGTAAATCTAAATTTTCTTTCAAGCTAGTGGAATATAGTATAGCATATGTACGTTGTAATATCCTGAAAGAATTACAAAATATACTTTGTTCATGAAAAATAACACTATGATATACCATTGATATTTTTCACTAGTTTCCTGGGAAGGTCACTGTTTATTTTTTATTATTGTTTCAAGGAAACACATTTTATTGGAAACATATATTCAGAAACTCAAAGTATGATTTGTGTCAACTCCAGTTTTACTTCTGTAACCTATGCATGCATTTCAAACTAAATCAAATTTCACATCATTCATTAACCAACAGCAAAGCCGAATTGAAGATCGCTTAGAAAGACTGGATGATGCTATTCACGTTCTCCGGAACCACGCAGTGGGCCCATCCACAGCTATGCCTGGTGGTCACGGGGACATGCATGGAATCATTGGACCTTCTCATAATGGAGCAATGGGTGGTCTGGGCTCAGGGTATGGAACCGGTCTTCTTTCAGCCAACAGACATTCACTCATGGTAAGTGAGATTTGTGGACTCTTCAGTTACTGTATAGAATTAGAATTTCAAGTGTAAATACCACTGCTGTTGTTTCTTGAGTTGTATCATTTACTTACCTGCATTTTGCCCATTTAAAATTTACGAGTCCATGTGTTTGAGTAAGTTCACAGGGTTATACAATCATCACCAGAGGCTAATTTTAGGATGTTTTACCCCCTGAAAAAAGAAAAGAAATTCCCATGCCAGTAGTAGTTACTCTCCATTCCTTCCTCTCCCTGGACCTTGGCAATGACTCGTGTGTTCTGTCTCTATAATTTTCCTATCTTAGATATTTGGAATCATACAATATGTGGTGGTCTTTTCTGACTGGCTGGCTTCTTTCAGTTCGTGTAATGTTTTCAGCCTTTATACATATTTCATCTTGTACCAGATCATCATTCCTTTTTGTTGCCAAACAAGATTCCATTGTATAGAGATACGTTATTATTATCCATTCACCAGATGATGGGTATTTGGGCTATATCCACTCCTTGACGATTATGAATAATGCTCCTATGAACATTGATATACAAGTTTTTGGGTGGACGTGTGTTTTAATGTCACTTGAGTATATACCTAGGAGGACATTGCTGGGCCATGGCCGGTGTTTTAAATTCTTCATCTTAGTGACGTCACCTAGAGGACCCAGCTTGTTTGTACATGTTATATTACTGGTATTTCACATATGAAGAGGTTGAACCCAAATCAATGTCTTTTGATTCTGTGTGTGGGAGGTAGGAATATGTGGTGTGTTTATCTGTCTAAGGATACGGTGTGGGACTGTGTGATTTAAAGATATGGTAGTTTATCACTGCCTATTTATGAATAAGTTGTCTATTTAAATAATATTTAAACAGATCTGTCTGTATTACAACTGGAATTTCAATTCTGCGCATTGCATTTGGAAACAATTTGGGAATGCATCCCCTTTTTGGGGTGATTATGAAAATTTGGATTTTTTTAAAGATTTATTTATGAGCGAGAGAGGGAGAGCATGAGTGCGTGGGGAGGGGTGGAGGGAAAGCAGGAGAGAAAACTTAGCAGACTCTATCCCGAGCGCTGAGCCCCTATGGGGCTTGATCCCAAAACCCTTGAGATCATGATCTGAGCTGAAACCAAGAGTCAGAGACTTAATGGACTGTGCCATCCAAGTGCCCCAAAATTCAGAATCTTCTTAACAAAATGTTAAGTGATGACAGTAGGGTGACTGAATCGTGGAGAATGTATTACTAATGATTCTGTGTATTCTGCTTCTTATAAAATCCTGCTTGATCAACAAACACCTTAGTGTCCTCTTTTGTACCTGTAGGCTCTTAAAAAGTTGCTTGGGTGAAGGTCTGTCTTCTGTTACCAACATAGCATCTCTTGTTTACCGATGATTCCAAAAGGGGAATGCAAAATAGGCACAGGCTTTTCTGAGGCTTTTTAAGTTCTTGCTCAATAGGATTCTTCCGTCCTCCTTTCAGTTTCTCTTAATAAAAGACTGAGATTGAGAGGACCATCCTGAGCATTGTGTTATGGAAACCTGCAACCAATTTGAAACCCAAAATACTGGTTTATAAATAGAAGCAATGAACTCACTTCTGAAACGTGGAAAGATATTTCTGAATGCCAAAGCTCAATCTTTTTTTTTTTTCTTTTTTGCTTTTTCCTTGACCTCTATCCTAAAAATTCATCATTGAGTAAAAATTGTTTGTCTATTCATGGCAGTTGCTAAGAGTTTACAAAAGGAAAATATAGATGTTAATTTAGCTTGGCCTCAGGTAATGTGTTAAATACACTTGGGATGCATATAATATGAGGTTTTAGTTTGTACAGCTCTTTTCTTTTTAAACTATAATGTTTGAACAATACTGCTTTTAATTAAGAAATCTGGCTTTATTAAAAGCCAGATCTGTGACTTACAACCATTTCTCTATATCTGCTCTCAATCAAGAGAAAAATGGTTTAATTTCTGGAGCTGTGTTCATTTTGCATATGTTGAACGGGCGCATTGCTTCAGAAACAGTTTTTTTCCATAAATATGTAAAGTTTGCTCTTAAATACCAGATGTATGTTAAGTGGTTCTTTAAAATAATAAACTACACATAGATGCTCTGGGGGGACTGTTTGACCTTTGGGTTGCCTCCCCCTTGAGTCTGATTCAAAGGTGGGATGGGAAGAAGGGACCAGAATCATCTCTGGAGACGGGAAGTTGGCCTGACCTGGCTGGAGTGGCCAGGGAGAGGATGGAGCAGAGCAATAATAGAAGAAGGGAAATAATCAGCCAATATTACACAGAAACATTTTTGATTTGGTTTTGAAAACGCTCTGCAGAAGCTAGAAAGCTGCTAGTTTTGCTGAGGAGGAAAAGCTCCTGCTCCCTTCTCTGAAGGCATTTACAATCCAGTCAGGGGCAACCTCAGAGCCAACCAGGTAGTAGAGTCAAGTCCAAACATGTGGCACAGCAACACCCCGCCACCTTCAGAACCCCCTTTCTTCCCAGAAATACCCGGTAGACCCATGGAGGCTAAACTTCCCCAGCCTGAAACTCGAATGTGTGTGAAACAGATCGGATTGTCATTTCTTTCCTTGCGCAAACTGGTATGAATTTTCAAACAAAAACATAAGAACAAAGGAAATAGTTTTTGAATTTAGTCAGTCTGAAGTTAGCCTTTGACCATTTGATACATTCCACAATAAAAAGGAAGTTGAAGGGGAAGGGGGAAAAAAAACCCTCCCCCCCCCACAACAACAACAACAAAAAAATTCAAGGAGGATACTGGTAATGTTTTCCACATTTGAATTTTAATACATGAAACAGGCTATAAAACTTTGGCCAGCTGCAGTAAATAAAGTAGCAGTGGGAGGTATGCACCGGAAACTTTGCTGCAGAGAACACTGGTGGGTGTTTCTTTCCAACGACACACCTTCGTTCGTTGTTCTGGAGTAGAAGCCTGTTATAGTAACTTCAGACCCATCCCAGAGCTAGTTTTATTCTGAGCAGATCTGCTTTATAAGTCCCCTTAATAATTCCTCCTGATTAAAGAATAGACAGCTTTGAATTCTCTTGACCTCCATCCTCTTTCGCTTCCTCTCTCCCCGCCTTCTGAAAATCAAAACAAAATGGCTTGATAACTTGGAAGATGATATAAGCATTTCTTTCTGCAGCAGCTTGAAATCGTGGTGGGGAAAACTGGTTCTGCCTCGGCTGTTATGTTATCTCATTTAATTGCTAACATATTGTACTTAGCTTTTGATTCATAAAATGTTTTCCTTGGAGTTCTGAAGTAGGTCTTCAGTGATTTACTAAGTATTAGTGTAATGAAAGGGAATTTTTTTTTTTCACAGCAGCATGGCTCATAACACTAACATGAATGTTGTAGACTTGCAGGATTTCTAGATGATATTTGGCCGTGCTCTTCCTTGCCTAGAAACCTTCGCTGGCTTTCCATTATCTACAAAATAAAGACGAGTTGATTAAGCCCCATTACCATTTACCAAAAGCCTCATGTTTAGCTATTCCAATACGCAAAAATGTTTCCAGCAAGACCAGTCTATGCAAATTACCAGAATTTGCCCTTTGTGTTCTCCTTAGGTAGTTCTTCCATGTCTTTAGGGCTTGGCCTGCCCTACTCATTTCCCCCTTGTCCATCTCATTCCCACCACTTTCAAGCCTCAGACTCAAATTCTGCCCCTTCCAGGAAGCTTCCTTGTTACCTCCACCTGTGACTGTCCATTTTCTCCCCTTCTTCCCAGAGCTCTGTGATTCATACCGTTGGCTATTTTCTTACCTTGTCATGCAAAACTATATATCTTTTAAAGGCCTGACTTTGGCCTTACCACCTATATGGTAAATCCTGGAGTACCATGTCTTACATTAGGCGCTCCGTGAGCATCACCTCAGGCCGTCTTCCCAGGAGCCCTTTGAGAGGGATGGTGATGTCCAGTTTAGGAGTTGGTCAAACGGGCCTTCTTGGGTTCGAGGAGCTCAAGTCTGGAAGCCAACCTGAAACTCGGGGACAGTGCCTCCATGTTCCACGCCCTTTGTTTATTACCACTAGCCCTCCCCACAGATGAGCTCTAATTGTGCCTTTCCAGGTAAGAGTTTGCGATTTTCAAATCTTGATAAATGCTCCTTGATGAAAGAATTCCCAGGCATCCCTTGGCTAAGTTCCTAGGGCAGCTTTTTACCCAAATGCAGAGTTAAAGAATTTTTCCTCCAGTGCCGTGGTATGCTAGATTAAAACCCGCACTGTCTAAACACTTACTCTTAAGTCAGCATATCTGGGCTAAGTGGCACGAGGTGTAAACTCTCCTTACTAGGGTCACAAAGTAGTAAATTTTAAATTATTTCTCTTATCAAAAACCACCCACGTTTCCGACAAGAGTCAAAGCAGAAATCTCTCTGAATGTGGGAGAATAAGGAAACAGGTGGGTTTGTCGCTAAGCTAATTAGACATTCTTACCCAGATAGAACCCCCATGTGCCTCAGATACCTCCATGGTTAATCCTGATAGTAAATCATTAGGTTTTTATAAATTTTTGAAATGACAGTTCTGCAAAAATAATTCTCTCCAGTCTTCACTCAGTATTCAGATCCACAGATGAGACCTGAAAGCAAAGCTTTCAGATGACCTAATCTCCTCTTTTAACTGAATAAGAACAAAACTCACATCAAAAATGTCTTCCTGTGACTCTGTATGTGCTTCTGATTACTTGCCAGTAGAGTCAGCAATGAAGGGATCACTTAGCTGAAAATTTCCTTCACAATTAACATATAACATTAGTGTGGTTCCTAGACCCTTTTCGCTCAAAGTCCATTTATTCATTTCCAGAAACATTTATCAAGAGTGTTTCCCAAATGCCAGGCTCTGTGCTAACACATGGTCTCTGCTCTCCAGGGGTTCACAGTTTAGTAGAAAAGGAAACATATTTAAAAACAAATTGCTATGGCAGTGCAGCAAACCCCATCAGAGGACAGGGACACAGCCCTCTGA